AGCAGATGGCACTGACTTCAGGCTTTCATCCACAAAAACAAAACAGGAAAAATAAGTTTCTATGCTTATGAGTTGGGGTTATAATTGAGGTTTCCAGCATCCAGACAGGCAAATGCCTGGACAGCTGCTTAGGGCAGATGGGTCCTTTGACAGCTTAATATCGCTGAGTTTCTGGTGACTCTGCAGTCAGGGCAGCCAACGTGAGACCATCTGTTTACTAGTGGGCAGAAAAGCTCACGACCAGCAGGTAGCCACTGCTGAGGATGAGACACAAACCCAAAACCGAGTCAGCCATTTTCATAACCTCTGCAAAGCAAACTGGCCTGGCGGGCCGCTGGCAACACCACCAGACACAAGGGCTACGTGCCTACAAAACACGACCACACGGAACGAGCATATGCCCAGAGGTTTTAGGTTTGTAACGTTTTTTTATTTTTATCTTTTTTTACTTAAAAAAATATGGGGCGCCTGGGTGGCCCAGTTGGTTGAGCGTCCAACTTCGGCTCAGGTCATGATCTCAGAGTTCATGGCTTTGAGCCCCGTGTCGGGCTCTGTGCTGACAGCTCAGAGCCCGGAGTCTGCTTTGGATTCTGTGTCTCCCTCTCTGTCTGCCTTTCCCCTGCTCACGCTCTGTCTCTCTCTCTCTCTCTCTCTCTCACTCTCAAAAATAAACATTAGAAAAAAAAATTTTTTTTTTTTTTGAGTATAGTTGTCACGATGTTACAGTTGGTTTCAGTTGTGTCCCAAGAGGTGTTATTTGGGTTATTTCAAAGTATTCAAATGCCATAAGATAGATCATTCACTCAGAAAGCTTTTTTGTTCTTTTGTACTTTTCTAAATGGGAAAAGAGAATATCCAGGAATTCAGGCCTATATAATAGGCCTAGAAACTAGCTGTCATTTGTTTATTATTAACAATGAAAAATTTTTTTAGATAAGTAACACATATATTTAATTGCAAAAGGTTTACAAGGAAAAATAAATAAATCTCCCACCTACCTTTCTCCTAGTACCCTATCTCCCCTCTTTCCCTCCAGAGATAACATTGTTACCCATTTCCTGCATATCTTTCCAGAAATTGTCTATAATATACATAATCATGTATGTATGGATACATATATACACACACATATAAATGTATACAGATATGTCCTTATAACTTTCTTATTGGCTATATTTAAAATGAACAAAGCCTTATTAAAGCCTCTGAGAAGAACCACAGTAAAGAAGCCTGTTTAACTTTATTAGCGTATCTACTGGTATCTGACTTTGGGTCCCCTCCCCTCCCCTTTGGCATAATTTCTGGTCTGTGGAATAGAGCCAGGACTTGAATGGTATGGCTGTATCAGGTGTTTCTGGATGGCATCTACCCTGGTTGGTCTGTGCTTGAGCTGTCCTTTTTTTTTTTTTTTTTTAATGTAAAGTTTATTCTTATATTTTTCTTTTTTATTCATCTGCCTTTTCTTATTTTCTTTGCTCCTTAGTTTCATATCGCCTATGCACAGTTTTCTTGCTCTTTTCTTTCTGGTTTATTATTTGCTTTGAGCGGGGCAGCTATTTGCTGAAATGCAGTTGTTGTTTTTTTTAAGTTTACTTATTTATTTTGAGGGAGAGACACACACACACACACACACAGAGAGAGAGAGAGAGAGAGAGAGAGGGAATGAATCAAGAGGCGGGGGTGGGATGGGTGGGAGAGAGAATCCCAAGCAGGCTCCGCACTGCCAGTGCAGAGCCCCACGTAAGGCTGGATCTCATGAACCGCGAGATCATGACTTGAGCCGATGCCAAGAGTCAGACACCTGACCGACTGAGCCACCAGGCACCCCTGAAATGCAGTTCTTGAAGAGGTGAGGGCACCATGTACGGCTGTCCTATAGCTTCCTTTCAGGATGTGAACTCACATCACCCTCTCTCCAAACTGCAGTATCGTCTGCACGAGGCCACTTCTTCCCTCAGCTGGGTGTGTCCTTTCTCTTGACCTCCTCCAGACACTGGGGTCAGCATGACTTAGAAGTTCCTTTAGGCCACAGACACTCTTGGACCAATTTGGGAGCATTTTATTTAGGGTTAAAAAAAATCTCCACGTGAAAGTGAGATTAGACTATAATTTTCTTTTTTTGTGCTATCCTTCCTTGTTTTGGGTATAGTGTTGTGCTGGCCTAATAAAATGAGATGCTCATTTAAAAAAAATTTTTTTTTTTAATGTTTATTTTTGAGAGAGAGAGAGAGAGACAGAGTACAAGTGGGGAAGGGTCAGAGAGAGAAGGAGACATAGAATCTGAAGCAGGCCCCAGACCCTGACCTGTCAGCACAGAGCCTTAGGCAGGGCTAAACTTATCACAGAGTGAGAGATCATGACCTGAGTCGAAGTCAGATGCTTAACCAAATAAACCACCCAGGCACCCCAAATGAGATGCTCTTTTATCAAATTTTTTAGTTCTCTCTCTTCTCTCTGATACTTGGTTGGAATTTTGCTCATGGATTTTAAGTCCTAATCCTCTCTCTTTACAATTTTTTTTTTAAAGTTTGTTCATTTATTTTGAGGGGGGGAGGGGCAGAGAGAGAAAATCCCAAGTAGGCTCCATACTGTCAGTGCACAGCCCAACGTGGGGTTCAGTCTCACTAACTGTAAGATCATGACCTGAGCCAAAATCAAGAGTCAGACACTTAACTGAATGAGCCACGCAGGCGCCCTTCTCTTTACGATTTTTTGAAGATAATGACTCCTGCTCAAATCTAATCTATCAATGCTATATTCAGCTATTCTGAGCCTTTCCTTCTGAGTTCTAACCAGAGAACCTTTCAGAATGTACTTTAGGGAAATTACCTGGAAGATAAAATATTTGTCTGAACTTAAATCTCTCTCAACTTTGGATTTCTGCAATTAACCCAGGGACAAATAAGATCATGTGCCACATCACTGTACTTGTAAAACACAATACAATTTTCTTTAATGTTCATTGATTTATTTTGAGAGAGAGAGAGAGAGAGAGAGAGCGAGCGAGGATGGGCAGAGAGAGGGAGAGAGAGAATCCCAAGCAGCTTCCCAAGCTTTCTGTGCTATCAGCACAGAGCCCATCATAAGGCTCAATGCCATGAACTGTGAGATCACAACCTGAGCCGAAATCAAGGGCTAGATCCTTAACCGACTAAGCCACCCAGGCACCCCAACACAGTGCCATTTTCAAAGTCACACCAATGATATGATACTTGGTAATAAGGGAAAACAGCTAGTAAAGAAATCAAATTAACCATTCCTTATGAAGTCAATATCAAGTTGCTGACTAACTCTAAGTCGAAATTCCAAGCCTGAATTTCCTGGGGGCAGGGAGGAGGGGTTTTATTTCTTGTCGATGCTTGACCTTTTATTCATAGAGTAAGAACATCAAGAATACACTATAAAAAAATCTAGCATTTTGACAGCCTTCTTCTCTTCCTCCCATTTTATAATTTTTAAAGATGTTTAAAATTCTTCCATATATTAAAGATCGGAGGGAATACAAGTAGAAATGTTATCTCAGAATGCATATGCTAGGGAGAGACAGCAACTGACTGTGCTAGGACCAGTTTCCCATTTCCCCCTACTTACAGAAGCATTCAATAAGAGTTGGAATTTGCTAAACAAGGACCCAGACTGAGAAGAAATATTTTCCAGGCAAAAACTATGGATTTGTACAGGCATGCGGATTAAAATCCCTTTAATTGTCCTTACTTTGTTCTAACTATCAGAAGGAAAAGAAGCCTCCTAAACTGAGCCATGACTTTACTGTAGAGATGCCTTCTCCATGTCTTTCCCTTCCATTCTAAACTCCTTAGTATCCTCTTAGCACTCTTTGGCAGATGGAAGGGAATTTTTCAAACTTATCTGTTTATCATTGTTTTTTGGTAATTCCTTAGATTCTTATTTTTTTCCCACCAGATGACCACTACGCATTATTTTATCCACACCACTGAAAAGCATTTAACTACATATCTAAGGACCTATTTTGATCTAGGATACAAAGTTTAATAACATAAAATAAATGGTCTGCTTATACTGCACACACTGATCAGCAAAATGAACACAGTCGAATTAGACAGGTGGAAATCTGATTCTAGATATGTCTTTGTTTAGGGAAAGAAAAGCCATATCTAAGTGAGAAAAAACAACAACACAATACTGATAAGGAAAGTCGATTACTTCTGGCAACTTGGGAAGTATCGTCGAGGAAGAAAAGGAACTGGACCCTGAGTTTTGAGAAGCGGTCTTCCCCTGGCATCAGGGTGGGGGGAGGCGGAGATAGACAGTTTGCCACACTGGAAAGAACATCTGACTTTGGAGTCAGAAACGCTCTATGCCAAATGCTCGATGATGTCCTATGGGAAGGAAGACCCCATCTCTAAAACAACTCCAATAAGTAACCAGACAGATCATTCCCTGGTCCACATCGTCCTCAGGGTCGATGCTCTGTGCATATTTCTCACATCACTGTTCACAACACACACCCACACACAAATACCCCAGACATCTAGGTTCACTGTGAAATGTCATGTGCCACCCAAACTCTGCATTTTTGTATAGGTTGTTGCTTCTCTTAGAAATTCCTTCAGTCTTCATGTACCTATATGTCATCCTAAACCTGTCTTCTAATTTACATTCATAGTAGACACAATTGCTGATTATATTTGGGATAAATGAGAAGCTGTGACAATAAGTATATAAAGTAATTTTTCTGTCTTTTGGATTTCTGTCATTGGACTGGTGATGAAGAAATCATAATTGGGGAAATTCTATCATTTTTCGTTCAGCTGGAGGCTGGAATAGCAGAGGATCATTCCTAATCTTGAAACTAAGCCTAGATGCTAATTTTGCCTTCTGTGGAATGGATGATTTATGTCGTTCTTCTAAAGGAAAATAACTCAATACATTGAAATTGGCACAAAGCAAGTTCAGTAAGAATTATGATGAAAGATTTCATATGTTCAAAACCTGCCTCAGTTACAAAAATCAAGCTTTACCTCTTGAAATGATTCACCAGGACTCCAACAAGTTCTCCAATTCGACTCTCATGGGTTGGCTGTTTGCTGAAAAGGCAGACAATGAGGTCTTTGTTGTCTTTTGTATGGAACACTACAAGTTGGTCCTTTCCATTGGAGACACTCAGACCAGTCAACTGCAAAGACATAACACATGGAAAACTATTAGGATGGTTTCTCAAAAGAATAAATTTAAAAATACATTTCATAATTATATGCATAATATACATATTATATTATATATGCATAATTTTAAAAATAAATTTATATATATATATATTTCAGTTTATTTATTTTGAGATAGAGAGTGTGTGTGCATGAACTGGGCAGGGGAAGAGAGAGAGAGAAGGAGAGAGAGAATCCCAAGCAGACTCTGCACTATCAGTGAAGAGCCTGATGTGGAGCTTGATCTCCCGAATCATGAGATCATGACCTGAGACGAAGTCAAGGGTCAGATGCTCAACTGACTGAGCTACCCAGGCACCCCTAATAATGTATTTTTGATCAGTGACCCTGGTAGCTTCAGTCTTTTCCAAGTTTCATGGAACAAGCAAGATGGAAGGAAATAATAAAGATAAGACTAAAAATCAGTGAAACTGAAAACAGAAAAATAATAGAGAAAAATCAATGAAATAATGAGCTGGTTGTTTCAAAAGATCAATAAAATTGCTAAGCCTCTAGTCTGAGGATAAAAGAGAGATAACCTAATTACCAATATAGAATGGAGGAGGGGATAGCACTATAGACCATACAGACATTAGAAGGATAACAAAGAAAAATATTTTCAACAACTCTGTGTACATAAATTTAATAACATGGATGAAACCAAGTAATTCCTTAGAAGCCACAAACTACCAAAACTCACCCAAAAGGCAATAGATAAGCTGAGTACTGCTTTATCTATTAAAAAATGAAATTTGTGGTTAAAAACCTTTCAAAAAAGAAAACTCTAGGCTCAGGTGACTTCACTGGTGAATCCTACTAAATGTTTAAAGAAGAAATAACACTGGGAACACTTTGTAACTCATCTTATAAGGCCAGCATTATCCTGATACCAAAAAAGGATAAAGGCAGTACAAGAAAACTGTAAACCAATATCCAAAACCCTTTATCAATATGGATGTAAGAATGACCAACAAAATATTAACAAAGAAATCCAACAACATATAGGAACAATAATATACTATGACCAAGTAGAGTTTATCTAAGAAATGCAAAGCTAGTTCAGAATTCATTAATTAACCAATGTAATCCATTGCTGCAACAGAATAAATAAGCCACGTGATATTATTTGATGCAAAGAAAGTGATGAGGGATAGAAGCAGAAAAATATTCACCTTTAGCCCAGAAGGCTGACCTAAATAAAGCCTGCATAGTTTCAATAAGGATTAAATATGTGCTGGTTGCTGCTTTCTTTTTTTTTTTTTTTTTTTAATTTTTTTTTTCAACGTTTATTTATTTTTGGGACAGAGAGAGACAGAGCATGAACGGGGGAGGAGCAGAGAGGGAGACACAGAATCGGAAACAGGCTCCAGGCTCTGAGCCGTCAGCCCAGAGCCTGATGCGGGGCTCGAACTCACGGACCGCAAGATCGTGACCTGGCTGAAGTCGGACGCTTAACCAACTGCGCCACCCAGGCGCCCCTGGTTGCTGCTTTCTTAAAGGGTCTCATGACTGCCTTTAAATCTCACCGACAGTTCACATCAAACTGAATGACAAGCACTAGAGAAATCTTGAGAAAGCAGTTTCACAGGCAGAAATTTGAGCATTTATTTTTATTTTTATTTTATTTTTTTTAAGTTTATTTATTTATTTTGAGAGAGAGAGAGAGAGAGAGAGAGAGAAAGTGGGTGCCTGCACGCAAGTGGTGAAGAGGCAAATAAAGAGAGATGGAGAGAGAGAATCCCAAGCAGGGGCTCAACTTGGGGTGTCAACTCACAAACTGTGAGGTCACGACCTGAGCTGAAATCAAGAGTCAGATGCTTAACCCAATGAGCCATCCAGGCGTCCCTAGTTTTAAATATTTTTAAAGATTTTATTTTTAAGTAATCTTTACACCCCACGTGGGGCTTGTGTATACGACCTTGAGATCAGAGTCACATATTCCACAGACTGGGCCAGAGGGGCTCCCCTTGATCTACTAGTCCCTGCACGTCCCTTCCCCCTTGAGCACAAAGCATATAACCACCAGCTGCATAGAGCAAAAGTGCAGCTCTTTCTGCCCACAGAGCAGAGAGCTTTCCCTGTGCTACTTACATAAACTTACTAATTTGCACTGTAAAATGTCTGAAGAATTCTTTCTTGGCCATTGTGCTCCACGACCCACCAACATTTTTGGTGGCCCTGCAAGGGGATTATAGGGGGAATCTAAGAGCCTCAGTGCGACCTGCTAAAACCCTTTTATTCCCCCAGTCTCTACTTCTTGTTCTTTTCCAGAGATGTCCTGAATAGTACAACCCTTCGGAATGTGTCTTGTCTGAGTGCTCAGGAGAGAACCTCTTGCCCGTGGCCCTACTAAGGGGAAGACAAACTTCTGCTGCCCGGCTGGACACCAGTACCTTGGCTGTAATGGCGTTAAGCTCAGAAATCAGTCTCTGTTTCATCTGCTCTTTTAATACTTGTATACTCGAGTATTTTAATACTCTTTTAATACTCATCACAGGACAGACATACATGTCCCTAGGATGGCCGCTGATCTCAAGACTCCCATGGAAGGTTTCCTCCTAAATAATCCAGTGTGATCCCTCAAATGAGCATAAAATCCAAGATACATCTGACCACATGTGATTCCTGAAAGTGACTGGTGGGAGCTATTATCCAGTTGAGGCACTCACCCAGCGGGGGACTGGATCACAGATAAAGCTCACAAGAAAGTTTCCTGGATTAGATAGGGGTTCCGTACTTTCGTTTCTTCACGTCTTTCATTTGTCTTGCCCATGGGCTGTTTGGCGTTCTCAGTCCTACTCTCAGACTGAAAGTACTTCTAGCTTAGATATATGTCACTTAATATGATACCAAATAGCTGCTCCTTGTTAACGAGGGCCAGGGCCTCTGCCTCATCCATTAATAGTAGATCCAGAGTCTTACAAAGGGTATTGTTACTGGTTGCAAAATATATTGATACCCCCAAAATGGAAAGAGGCAGCTCCAATTTCTGTGGCATTTCAGTCCAATCACTGACACCCCTTCTCAGGTAGTACAATGGTGTCAGAGTGGTTGAAACTGGGGGATGCCTCCCACCACTCTGAATCCCAGGGACCTTCAGCAATATTCCTGGTGGGATGCCACTTAGAAGCTGAGGAGGATTTTGGTAATGGACTCCTAGTTAGTTAATGGACTCTCCTCCATTTGTAGGAATTAACTATAGGATCAGCTTCCTTGATCCCAAAGGATTTTCCTTTGGGCTGTTGTTACCTAACACAATGGAGTCAATCTGGACAATAGGATTTAAAGAAGAAGTGCCTCATCTTTTTCTGTAATAATGCTTGGCCTCAATGTTCTCTGAAGGATGATAAAAAAAATGACCCATTGATGGGTCTTTAAGGCTCAGTACTATTTATCAATTGGACCTTTTGGTAGGCATCAGGGAAAATGGACCAAAATCCCATATGGTCAGGCCTTTATGGCCCTCTACCAAAACCCTCATCTGTCCATACTCCTTTAAGGGGCCCGAGGACACCCCTCTCCTCACCCTTTTCTTCTCAATCCACCATCAGCTGGCTGCCCAGGCCCGTCCTACTTAACCCACCACCCTCCCTGTGTTTTGTCATGTTTTCTATGTGCACCACTCCCTACCCCCATCTCTCTGCCAAGATCCTGTATATGCCTCCTTCTTTTTTCCTGAGTTATTTTCTCCTCTTTGTTTGCTTCTCTGTGTGTCAGAGCTGGAATATATCTTGAGAGTACTGGATGAATGTTGCCTGACTCTGGTTGTGTGGGGTTTTCTCCCTCATTCATTTCCTAGGTTAATGGCTATGATAATTGGAGCCAGTTGTCCTGTAAGTCTACCTCAGGATGGGGACCTTAAAGAATACTCCCAAGAAGCTTTCAAAATTCCTTTTGCCTCAGGGAGGTTCCCTGTCTTCTCCACCAGACATGGACTGCCTATTTTCACTTTTTGTGGATGGAAACAAAAGGTGTGCCTGTTCATCTGTCTGTGCTGATGAACTTTAGGACTGAGAGAGTCCTTTTTCTCTGCCCTCTTGCTGGCAGCACCTCACCTCTTCTGCCTGCACCTCCCCCTGCTCCTCTTTCCCCACCATGTTGGGTGCCACTCGCACAATGGCTCCTGTACCATCCTTCATGCCCTCAGTGCCATTGGCTCCTGTTCCTCCTCTCCTTGCTATCAAGGAGTGGAGAGCACCTCTCTCTGGACTTAAACCGCTCACTTCAGATTTCCCCACCGGTGCCCCAGGTAAAAACTGACAGTGGGGAACAAACTGATTGACATTTAGTGTGCCCAGGTACAATATATTTGGCATTTAAGCTAATTTGAGTTTGTTAGTTTAATTAAAGGTAAACATGTCTTTAGAGTTATCAGCACTAAATATAAAACTTTTATTCTACCAAGGTTTACAAAAGGTCAAATAAACTCGTGTTATCGCTGTTGCAATTTGTCAGCAGAAAGATGACTTAAAATGATGGTTAATTTTGTCTCAAAATTTTCACGAGTAATTGTTAAGAACAAGTAGGCTGAATAAATAAAAGATTAATGGGTAAAACTTTTATTTATTTATTTATTTATTTTTAAACTTCAAAAATATTTGTGTATTTTTGAGACAGAGGGACAGAGTGAGTGGGGTGGGGGACAGACAAAGAGGGAGACACAGAATCCAAAGCAGGCTCCAAGCTCTGAGCCGTTAGCACAGAGCCTGATGTGGGAACTGAACTCACAAACCACAAGATCATGACTTGAGCCGAAGTTGGACCCTTAACCCATTGAGCCATCCAGGCACCCCATAGGTAAAACTTTTAAATAGCTTTCAAAATTTTTGGTAACATGAAACTGTGAAGTTTTTTTTTTTTTTAAATATTTATTTATTTTGAGAGAGAGCTCATGTACTCATGCAAGCAGGGTGAAAGGCAGAGAGAGAGAGAGAGAGAGAGAGAATCCCAAGCAGGCTCTGCACTGTCAGCT